CGAAGGGCTCGCTAATGGACTCATCGCAACAATTACTGACGTACCAGCAGTGGGGCAGCGCTGAGTGGTTGTGCTGATCCGGGAAGCGCGAGGGTCCCGCAGAAGAGCTGGAGGCGAGAGATTTGCTCTCACTCCGCACCCTAACTCCGGAGAGGGGCCTCGAGGGGTGGGAGAAAGGAGACCGTCCTCCCAGCGCTCGTGAGCCACTGGCGAAGCGCACAGAGCCTGCAAGCTGGGAAGCAGAGCATCTCAGACTGGCAGGGTTCGTGCTGTCACATCCAGGGAAGTGGAAAAGTGCTCTTTCATTGATGTTTTCGTGGCACTGAAAAGTACCGTTGGAATTGGGGCTCCGCCCTCCAGCGGACTTAACGGCGCCCTGGGCAGAGGGGGCTGCCTGCTTCCGAGGTGCTCGACGTGCCCACTTCGCCGGAGGCGCAGGCTGGGGCGGGGCAGCACTCGTAGGCGGACGCCCTTGGCGAGGAGCAGTAGATGTGGATGATACGGTGGGCGGAGCGGGCTTACGTTCCCGCCGATAGATGACATTGCCCATCGCATCTGACTGCTCTCTCACCGCCTTGAACTCCTGGGTGAATTCACTGACAGTGTCGCCAAACAGGCCAGCCTGGGATATGGGGGAGTCAAAAAAGCGAACTTTGTCGACTTTGCGCATATCGACCAGGTTTAGCCAGATTTGGCGCTCCTGGACCACTAATGTGGACATCGTCCTACCCAATGCACACGCAACGGACTTAGTGGTCCGAAGAGCATAGTCGATTGCGGTGCGAAGCTCGTTTAACAAGCCTGGGGTGGACCCACCGTTGTGCAGCTCGGCCAGCGCCTGGTAGCGATGGTAGGTGGCCATCGTGTGCAAGGCGTAAGCAGCCGGGCCTGCAGCCCTGTAAGCACTAGCTCCGAGGGAGGCAGATAATCTACAGGCTTTGGACGAAGACGAGGTGGACCCCGCCAAGACGGGGCGCCACGCAGACAAAGATTGACGCAATGGCGCACTCGACCGGCGGAATCGCTTCATACCCCCTGGTCGCTCCGCCATCAAGAGTGGTGAGAGGGGAGGAACACGCAGCATGGGCAGAGAAAGGTTCCCTCCAAGACTGCGTGAGCCTACTGTACACCTCCGGGAAGAAGGGGACGAGAGGCTTCCCCCGCCCGTAGCTTGGATGGAGCGATTGGAGGAGCGGGAGTTCCGCGGGCCCGTGGGCAATGGATTATCTCTCGCTGAAACCCTCAGATCTGCCCGAGTGCCCGCTGCACTGCAGGGGACAGCTGGGGTGGTTCACCCCTTCACAAGGGCTAGCCGCGATCTCAATTGAGCAACAGTCATGGCATTGCAATGACAACATGAACTGCCCGCGAGCACCGCATTAACATGTTGGACCCTCAAACATGCAACACAGTGATCGTGCCCATCATCCAGAGACAGGAAAACACCGCATCCAGAAACGCACATTCGGATTGCTATCCTGAAAAGGACGTGCTGCATGACTGTGTTGCTCTTTTACGCACCGCTCTGGAGGACCGGACCCAAAGAACGCCAGGCAAGGGAGAATCCCAGCTCGACCGTCTGCCGCCGCGTGTACCCACTCTGGACCGGGAGAATGCTCTAGTTCGCTCAAATCACTGGAATACAGCAGGAGGAACCCTCATCGACTCTCTCAGAAGGCTGTAAAAGTCTCTGAAGCGAAAAGGATGGTGTTTCCTTGCTTCCCCTGTGCTTATATGTGGAGCTAATTGGCAAAAAGGCACACGTGCGCAAGCTTACGCTTCCAATTCATTGGCATTTCATTGGCTCGTTGTATACTCTTTCAGACGATTGGCTTTCTGAAATGAAATCCCCATTCGTGGATTAATAAATAAATCCTCCAATAGCATTGAAGTTCCCCATCTGAAGGGGGATAAACATTACCTTTAGATTTGGGCATGCTGCATGTTGCCTTTTCTAGCTTTGTAAAGTTTTTGTCAGTATTGTCAGTCATTTGGAGAGTACAATGGTCGAACAATTGAGGTACCCAGTTCTTAGTTCATAACCATTTCAAGTAACAATGGCCTTTACATGGACATCTGTAATCAAATTATTGGATTTATTTATTAGGACATGATTTGAACAATAGTATGATTCAAGTGGTTACATGAGTTGCTTTTTAAATGTTCCTTTCATGATCTTGTTTAACATGTTAGCACATAGTTTGATTCATGTCATCGTTTCACCTTGCTATCCAACATTTCCTAAAGAGTTTCATTTACCAGTAATTTCAGGTTTTAATTTTTCGACGTCAACTGCCATTTGGCAGTTTTACTTTTGACAATCTGAGGTATTTAATGTGAACATGGAGTAAGGACATGGTGGAAGAGTGTTGTATTAATGGAATTTGATACTGCATTCTCAATGAAAAAAAAAATGCGATATGTGTGTCTGTGGTCCTTTACTGACTCTGTGAAATTGTTAAAATAGCATATATTAATATTTTATATATCAATATAATTCTCAAACATATATTAATTTTCTGAATTTCAACCTTTAAATTCGGTTTCATTAACAAAATGGTCCAGGTGTTGTTGTTTCGGGTGTTTCATTTTTAACTTTCGACTTCTTTTGTAAGTTGATACCGCATGGCGAACAGAAAGAAAATCGTCCGCATTTCGAGACTTGGTGTTTCTTTAAGGTAAGGTTCCTTTTAAGGCTACACGGTAGAATTTTAATTAGAGTATTATCTTAATCATATTAAAATCGGAGTATTGGTGTCTTATGTAAATGTACTCAGAATGTCTGGTGAAGTCGTGAGCTGTCAAAGACAGGGCATTACTCTGCCTTTCAGCATGAGCCCTCCAAGTTTAGTGTGTTTCCTCATTAAACGCAACGAAAGCGTATGCTTCGCGTTGTTGTGTCAGAATCCTTGTGAAATACAGTAATACTTTAGGACGCTTAGTTTAAGCAAATTTGATGAACGTGATCATGCGTGTTGAATCTGATGGGGAGTCGCTCCAGTATGGAAGGCCGTTGGGGCCAAAACGTCTGCAGCGCGTTGTGTGTGTCTGTCTGTGTGTGTGTCTGTGTCAGGCCCGTTGAGTGGTGTCAGGGGTGGAGTAAGCGACACATCTGAGTAGGGGCGAGAAGGGTGTGCAATGTATTTAACGACCGCTTTGCAAGAAATTATCATTCGTTTGCGGGCATTTGGGAGTCTCTGTGCACTTGCGAGATACTCCTAGTCTTAGCAAATGGATGAATGTAAAGGAGGACTCTATGACTAATGTTCTCAACTCACAGCAATAAAACTTTACAATGAGTGCAATAGTTTGTATTCTATACTTAATTATTATAATTTTTTGCAGTCCACTTAGAATCCAACATGGAAATCAATGTTTTCTTTATTGGCATTGATTGTTTTGAAATTTAAATGTCATTAACATACCTGTGTTTTAATTTCTGTAATAAATATGGCTGTCAAGATGGTTTATTGTGGGTATGTTGTTTACATGAAGAAATCTGTGTTACAAGTTAAACAAAAATTCTATTAAGCAATTATATTTTGAATTCAAATATTTTTGTCTTGCATTTACATTCATTTTAACATTTAAATATCCAAAATTACAAGTTTCATTATTTTAACTGTGATTAATCGCGATTAATTTTTTTTTTAAAGTTGTGATTAATTAGTTAATTTTTTTTAATAGATTGACAGCTCTATTTTAAATATATATATAAGTTTAAATTTATTTATATATATATATATATATATATATATATATATATATATATATATATATATATATATATATATATATATATATATATATATATATATATATATATATATATATATATATATATATATATATATATATATATATACACACACACACGTTTAAATATATATACGTTTATATATATATATATATATATATATATATATATATATATACTTGTTTAAATATCAGATTTTTTTATCAGATATTTTTTTTATGCAGTGTTAGATTTTTAATCATAATTTTTAATTGATTATAACTGATGCTGGTAAAACTATTGATGTCAGTTGATTTTTTTGAAAATGGACATTTTTCCAGGGGGATTTTTCCTGTTAATGCTAACTTCATAAATATTGGCTCAGATGTGTTTTTTATTGGAGTTTTAATAGTTCTTCCTCATTTACCATAAATATTTAATTTTTTACCCCTGTGCTTTTTAAATATGAAGCTTTGTACTTGCATTTGTTTATAGGCTTTAATTTTGTCAAGAAAGCTTAAAATTTCAATATTAAACCATTTTTAATGGCAATTTTTCAAGTTTAAAATATTACTCACTTTATTACTTCTTTCTGCTTGTGTATATTATAGTCAATTATAAAGTTGGTTTGATTTGATGTTGGGATGATGTCAGAGTATGGTTTGTATATATTTTGGTTTATGCAAGTAGTTCAATAAATAAATAAATAAAATTATACCTGCGTAAATGAGCCAAATTCTTGACATGGTCATGGGGACATATACAATCCACAAATAGGGTCACAGAAGGTTACTGAGCTTTGATAATTTTTTTGGTAATTGTAATTAGAACAGATACTGATGTCCTTAAAAGTCCTTTTATGTGAATTTTTTACACGGTGAGATTTTTGTCATTTAAGGACGTGAGAGCAAGTTTTATCTGACACTACACAAAATTATTAATGCCTTACTGTGTGGTGGCTTAATTATTGACACATACAAGGTTAATTAAACATGTAAATAAATTAATTAAATATGTGTAGAAATCTGAGACAAATGCACTTCATGGGTTTTACAGGGGGCTTTTGTCACATGATGTTGAATAGGGTCCTTCAACTAATTTAAGTTTTCGTTGGAATTGCCAAAATACAATTTGTTGATGTCAAAATATTTTGTGACAATGAAATAAAATATCACTTCAACAACCCATATATAGATAAGAGACAGGGAGGGGTGTAATGTATTGTTGTTAATGTAAAAGTGTTTTTTTTTTTTTATCTATCTAGGAGGCCAAAGACCAGCTCTGTTCACGTTTGCAGTTCTCTGTTCTTGACTGGAACAAGCCTTCTCTTTACTTTTATATGGCTAAAGGTGCAGAGGACCTCACTGCTAAGGAAGGATGGCATTTTCTACGCTTTCATGGAATGGCTCTTGACAATCTAGCACAGGAGGCACCTTAAAGTGTTAGACATCTGGCAAATTTAGACGAAGTCAGTATAGGAATAATTAAAGGGCCAGGGGCGCCCCCAAGGGGTGGCCAGGGGTGGCCACGGCCACCCCTCGGTAAACTCTGGCCACCCCTGTGGCCACCCCAATTTAATTTTGCTGTAGACATTATTGATTTAAATGTACTTATAAATTCCCTATATTTAAATAAATAAAATGCAGCCACTAAATTATTGTTGGTGTTATTGACGTAGTTGATTCATTGTCTCTCCCCCTTAGTGCTGTTTCAGTGGTGAATGCTGGTAAAAGCAAAATGACGCATGCACGCAGAAAACCATTCCCGCGCGCCTCACGCACTCCCGTGTGAATCCCGGTTGGTTGTTTGCATACACGCAAACAAAATAGGCACCGCTCATGCGCCGTGAAACGGAGTAACAGCCTTTTGTGCAGAGGTGTCGGCACGCAGCGAGTTTTGAAAGTCGACTAAAGTTTATATAATATGATGATGACGATGATGTTACTTTCACTAAGCATGGCTTTAAAGCAGAAAGGAGGGATAATGAGTCAGGGAGGTAAGACTTCATAACATGATTTCTTAGCCATGATCTGGTCTAAGACCACAGATAATTCTATAATACATTTTTTGTATTCTTTAGAATTGTCATAATTATTTTCCTGCAAAAGGTTACTTAAGTGATCTTGGCATATCACTTCAGTTGTTGTTTTCCAGTAATATTTAGGAACGATTTCTGTTATTTATTTAAAATAATAATTGTATAATAATACTAATATTAATTGTATTTTAATACAATTCTGTGAGTTACCAAACAAATTTCGTTGTATAACTACAATGACAATAAAGGTACTTTACTTAATACTAATTGTATTTATTTAGAATAAATATAAATAAATTGTTATATTTATTGAATAACAAATCTAACAATTCAAAGGAGGTGGGGTGTTTAGGGTGGTTCGCCCAGGGTGTCATTTAAACTTGAACCGCCACTGCCCTCTCGATCGTCGTTGACAGCACGCACACACCTTCAATAGACAGCAATGGGAATTTAATATTTACCTTAAGGTACAGTTTATTAATAGAAGAAGCTGCATAATAAAATGGCTCAAAAAGCAATATGGATAAATTATATTATTAGGTAAAGTGAGTGAGTATATAGTAATGCCTTTCATTCAGGCAACTTATCTAGCACATTTTTACACAGTGGATGCCCTTCCAGCTGCAACCCATCTCTGGGAATAATAAACTCATTAATCTTCATTAATTTTAGACATGGCATATACTGTATGATGTAAAATAAAAGCGCGTAAAAAAAGTTATTTATACAATATAAATATATATATATATAAATATATATATATATATATATATATATATATATATATATATATATATATATATATATATATATATATATATATATATATATATATATATATATATATATATATATAAAAGTGTTTTTAAACTAAACATAGATTTTTATTTGGTTTGCACATGTACTTCCTGAATTATTTCAAGGAATAAGTTGCAATATTTCAAGAAAAATTAATTAAATGAATAAAAACTACATTATTTCATTTACCAGAAACAAAAATATAACATTACACTTAATTCATTATTTTTTTGTGTGCCACCCCAAGATTTGGTGCTGCCTCTTCTGGCCACCCCTAAGAAAATTTTCTGGGGGCGCCACTGTAAAGGGCACCTATAATAAAAATATTCTTTTGTAAGCTGGACAGAACTGTGGACAGAACTGTGTGCAGGTATAGTGTCCACAGTCATATTAAGGGTGATATAAAAAATAGGATCCAAATCCCTCCCATTTTGAGGCCGACCTTAACTTGATGTAGAAACGAGGTTTCCCTGCCCACTGAATTGAGTGACAGTCATATATTAACTTGTCTCTGTAGTAACGAGTATAATCTTGTCAACAAGACAGGACGTGTGCAAAGCAACTGGGATTAAAAGATTTGTTGAGCTCACTGTTTTCATCAATTATCAAATTTGAATGAAGAATGAGTTTTACAAGTTTAAAAGCTTTTTTAAACAGTGAATGTTTGTAATGAATTACAGCGATTTACTTCAGCATTACTTTATTACCAAAGCCGTGTGTCAGTAAATTTATAAAAGAAGATGCTTTAATCCCAGATTGTGGAGGTTAAATCAGGTTTATTTTGTACATTAACATAACGGATATCCATACAGCAGTGGATGTTAATGTGTATCCTGTCACATTCACCATGCAAAAACGTAATAAAAAAAGTTAAACTTGCGCGTTGTATGAGTGTTTGCTGTGTGGGCGCGAAGTTTGTAACGACAATGCGTGTGACTCAATGCAGAAAAATGCAATCAAATGCATCAAATAATCATCCGAAAAATTTATAGATCTCACAAACGTTACATGGTACCTGCTTTCTTGACTGTGGCAGCAGAGGCTGAGCTGAGGTACACCGACAGACACATGGGAACATTGGGCAGGGAGAGCTAGCATTAAAGGCACAGACCACAAAAACAGCTACATTGTTTAGAGCAGAAAATACAGTGTCCTGAAAGGTATAATAAAAAATCTTATGGTTGTTTTTTGCTGGAACTTTGCAGACACATTCTGGAGACACAAATGACTTATATTAAATCATTAAAAAGAGGTAAGCTAGGTGCTTTTTAATGTATACTTAATTTTATATTGCTCTTCATTTTCTCCAAAGCAACTTACTTACAATATTTGGCCAGGAAATAAGTAGCTGCTGACTTCTGTAGTATTTTTCCTACTATGTGTTCAACATTTTTTCAATACATTTTTGTGTTCAGTAGAAAAAAACATAAGTGAGATTAACATTTTGGTAATGCTTTCTTTTACAACCCGCAAAGTACCGTGTAAGTACAGTGAAATTACAGTGTATTTTTCTGTATGTATTGTATAAGTATAATGATTGTATGTGAAGGTATAAGGGAACAAACCGTAATACTTGGGTAATAAGTGGGTAACAACCAGATATTCAACACGAAAACTACCGCGTAAGAACAGTGAAATAACAGTGTACTTTTCTGTATGTATAGTGTAAGTATTAAATAACGTTTGCGTAGGTACAAGGGAACAAACTGTAATGCTTGGGTAATAAGGGGCTAATGAATAAAAGGTTTACAACCTGTGAAATTATGAACCCTTATTGTATACAGTATGTATTTTAAATCTGCAATTCAATATAAAATATATTTCTACACACTACTTACCTTATAAATGTTCACTCGTCAATCTCACCACAGCCATCAATGTCTCCATAGCTCACTATCAACAAATAAGTTTGCATGATATAGCCTATTGTCAGGGTTCAGTAGATTAAAACAGGCTCGCATCTTTACTGCTGTTTGCAGAGGGGGGCTAACTGTTGCATTTCAGTGAACGTATAGCTGATGCTTTATAAAAAAAAAAAATGTGGTAATTTGGTCTTCAATCAATAAAAAATGCTGCTGTAGTTTTCTCTGTTCTTAGTGTTCAAGTATACACTAGTGTGTTGAAGATCAGCTTCTTCCCTGTAGTTAAAGGGTAAATACCGCATTTGAGGGTTGTAAAATAAAGTAAAGCACTGTTCCTCCCTTGTGCCCCCTTGTTCCCTGTAGTTAAAGGGTAAATACCACATTTGAGGGCTGTAAAATAAAGTGAAGCACTGTTCCCCCCTTGTTCCCTGTAGTTAAAGGGTAAATACCACATTTGCGGGTTGTAAAATAAAGTGAAGCACTGTTCCCCCCTTGTTCCCTGTAGTTAAAGGGTAAATACCACATTTGAGGGCTGTAAAATAAAGTGAAGCACTGTTCCCCCCTTGTTCCCTGTAGTGAAAGGGTAAATACCACATTTGCGGGTTGTAAAATAAAGTGAAGAACTGTTCCCCCCTTGTACCCTGTAGTTAAAGGGTAAATACCACATTTGTTTCCCCCTTGTTCCCTTTAGTTTACAATGTAAAATCTTGAAGGCAGTGAAAAAAATATACAAACACACAACATATTTCTTCTTTACTTTGTAACCTTTATTTTAACAAATAAGCATTTTAAAACACTTCATCTTAATTAAACATTGTCTTGTCTATCTTTGCCTATACTCATTCATTCATTTTCGTTTCGGCTTTGTCCCTTTCAGTTTGTAAATCTGGGGTCGCCACAGTGGAATGAACCACCAACTTATCCAGCATATTTTTTACGCAGTGAATGTCCTTCCAGCTGCAACCCATCTCTGGGAAACATCCGTACACACCCATTCACACTCATACACTACGAACAATTTAGTCTACCCAATTCACCTGTACCACATGTCTTTGGACTGTGAGGGAAACCGGAGGACCTGGAAGAAAAAGAGAACTCCACACAGAAACGCCAACTAACCCCGTTTAGGCTAGAACCAGCAACCTTCTTGCTGTGAGACAACAGCACTACCTACTGTGCCATTGTGTCGCCACCCAGCTGCAACCCATCACTGGGAAACATCCATACACACATTTTCACACACACACATACACTACAGACAATTTTAGCTTACCCAATGTCACCACATATTTTAGGACTTGTAGGGGAAACCAGCACACCCAGAGGAAACCCACGCTAACATGGGGAGAACATGCAAACTCCACACAAAAATGCCAACTGACCCAGCCGTGGCTCGAACCAGCGACCTTCTTGCTGTGAGGCGATTGTGCTATCCACTGCGCCTGCCTATACTCAATCAGCAAAATAACACATTATTTCCTTTTCCCTTTTTCTGGCATCTTTTGCTTGGATTCCTCTTTCTCCTCTTCATGACCTCCACTAAGGACTCTGATGGTGAGTGGCTGATGAAATCCACGGGTCTTGCTGCTCTGCATTTTATACAAAAATATGAATAGACATAAAGGCTTTTAGTAAGCTATAGACATGTTTCGTTTTCTGTTTAATATACACACTAAACATTTACAGATACCATATAGACACTATACATTACTATCAAACAAAACTACTATCATCAGATCATACGGGAGATTGTGATCATTTATAATGATAACAATTAAAGCGCAAAGGGGAAAAGCTTAAATATATGTGCAGGCATAATAGACTTTGAAGTAAAGATTATTTGCAGTTCAGTGTAAATATTTAAATTCTGTTACCCATTAAATGGTAAGTAAATGTAATGTTTGGGTGAATTACCCCTAAGGTTAGTTTTTGATTAAGTGTATGTCTTAACCCATCATTAGTCCTAAATAAAGTAATAGATGACATAATATGGTTGATGTACTGTTAGGGACCCTAACAGTAAACAAGCTTTTATCATCAATCTGTATACCCTCTAAAGGACTTGACTTAATAAAATTGCAAAATGTTTCAGCAGCAACAAGAAAAAGATAAGGTGACACTGGGCAACCTTGTCTCATGCCTCCTTTTAAACAAAATCTTTTAGTGAAGCCTTGACTTAATTTCACAGAGCTATTGTCATCATAAGGTTTTTATTACATTACAAAACTGTGAACCAAAGCCAAAAAGATTTAAGCAATGAAAAATAAAAGGGTGTTCGACAGTGTCAAAGGCTTTAAAAAAATCTAAAAACAAAATAAAACTCTCATCTTTAATTAGGTCATTGTAATCAATTACATGTAGGTCAAATACTAGTCTTATATTATTAAATATAAGACTCTTGCTCATAAAACCAGATTGATTTTCATCTATTATTGAATCAAGTACTAATTTAAATCTTTTAGCATAAATATGGGCTAACATTTTGTAGTGATTATTCAATAAGCTAATAGGTCTCCAATTATCTAAAAGTAATAAATCTTTCTTAGGTTTTGGGATTAAACAAATTACTCCTCGAGTTAAAGTTGGATGTAGATTACATCGATTTAAGCTTTCACAGTAAACTTCAAAAAGAAAGGGAGTCAAGATAAGAAAAGCTTATAAAAAAAGCTTATAAAATTTAGAAGTAATGCCATCATTACCTGGTGACTTATTAAATTTTAAGCATTCAATGGCTTCTTTGATCTCATTAGTGGAAATTGGATAGTCGCAAAATGTTTTGTCTTCTTGACTAATTTTATTTATATTGCCTAATTGTTTGTAGAAGGCCAACATATTAGTTTCATTATGTGAGGAAGAATAAAGATTAGAATATTAACTGAAGCAGAAATTTGAAATTGTATTAAAATTATCTGTGATGTTACTATTAACATTCAACTTAGATATTGAATTTAATTTCGCTCTAGACTTTTCAAGTTTAAAAAAGTAGGCGGACATCTGTTTGCCGTGTTCCAACCAATTCTTTCTTGACCTTATAAAAGCTCCTTGGGCTTTCATTTTGTACATAATATCAAGTTGAGTTTGTAGATCAGTTAAGCGCTGTTTTTCTAAAGATGAAATGTTATCAGGAGAAATACTGGAAATAGATAGAATGTCTTGTACAAGTTTTTCTTCTTTAATTCGTTGCTCTTTAGCTAATGTGCTGCTAAACTTTCTCATATAATGTCCTATTTCAAATTTTAAAAGTTCCCAATTACTACTATTTTTTTTTCTTCTTTAGATTTATTCCAATAAATCTGTCTTTCTAATTCTTAGTTTACCTCATTTAATTTAAGTAAATAGCTATTTATCTTCCAGTATGAGTTATATTTCATATTTAAGTTAGGGGACAAATTAATATTAATCTAAATCAATTTATGATCAGTTAGAGGGGTCGAACTAATTTTGACATCAATGTAATTTTTATCAATATTATTTGACAGTAGCCAAAAATCAATTCTGGACCGTCTAGAACCATCTTTATTGCTCCAAGTGTATTCTAAGTCAGCTGGGTGTTTTTCCCTCCATATATCAATACGGTCAATTCGATTCATAAACAATTTTAAATTAGAATTCAGCACTGAAATTTTACCAGGAGGCCATCTGTCCCTGATCTCATTTAAAACAACATTAAAGTCGCCTCCTAAAATTATGAAAGCATTAGGAAATTTATAAACCCAGTAAAGAATTATTTTCTCCAAAGTGATGAAAAGAAGATTGTTATCAGTTTTGTTGTTAAACCCATAAACATTAACTATTATAAATGATATACTGTCACATTTTAAAATTAATAATACAAAATGACCATTTTCATGACGCTCTGAAAACAAAACTTCACCTCTGAAATTATTCTTTGAACCGTGAAATAGCCAGACATCACCGCCCCATTGTGACCGCCAAAAATTCTCATCTGTAGTAATAGAATGTGACTCTTGAATAAAAACAAAGTCAGAATTAAAACGTTTCGTAAACAAAAACAAG